CACACCACACACCACACACACACACACACCACACCACACCACACACATCACACCATACATATCACACACACATCACACCACATACACACATCACACCACACACACATCACACACCACACACACACACACACACACACACACACACACATATGCACACGCGCACACCAGGTTGGAAAATACTGAAGGATTTTTGAGTCCATGATCCTTTTCCTAGAATACTTATCAGTAATTCCTTTCATTTGTTTTCTTTTTGGAAACAGTGTTGGAGTTTATTAAGGAGAGCTCTAACATGATTTCAGTGTAGGTATTAATTTTAGGGGAGCCTCTGAGAGGTGCTTAGGAAAAGGGTAGTATATCTCCAGGAAATAAGTCTGGCTTCTCCAGAGAAAGTGGCACCCCTGTATTCTACAATAAACGATATGTATGACTTGGTGGCTTCTGAAGTTACATTCCTCAGAGGGTTTGTAAGAAACTTTTCCCTCCTTGTTCCTCCTTCTGATAGCGTGGGAGGGGGAAAGTGATGGGATCGGGGGTGCTCTCTGAGGTGCCCTGGACAGTGCAGGCTGGACAGGAGTAAGCGTACTCACAGGTCACATGACTCAGTGCCATTTGACCATTTTGCTTTAAGTGTATAAAAAGGAATACTGTTTTTCTACGTAGGCATTCTTTGTGGCAAATTTTGTTAGCTATGCCAAAACTCTTGCTCTTGATTGGTGAGAGAATTCAACCACACTCCAAGTTGAGGGGCTCCTTACTCTTTGCAATGTCCTTTAAAATTTCCCTGCCTTCCTATCTTGCCTCAATTTACCTCTCTGGAATGTTGTTAAGTCTTAGGGATTGATGGTGGCTGAAAACTCAATTTTTGAAACTTCATTGCTAAACATGAACGGAGACTCTATCTATTCAGGGATCAAGTGTCTGGATCTGTCTGAGAAGGCCTCAGCTGAGAGACTAGAGGGTCTTCACTCAGTGAGAATCTAGCAGGGTACACTGTTACTATAGGTTTATTTAAAGTCACCCCCTTGGGTTCCCTATGGTCACTTTAAAGATAAGGAACTAAAGAAAGGAGGTCCTGTGAGTTGTCAGGTCACCAACCTGAGAAGCAATGGACTCCAGCACAGTGGATGTGGGCTGAGCTTCCTTCCGGTCTCCTGCATCCTGACCCTTCCTTTCTATCCAGTTATTCATTAAGTCAGCCCTCCCCTCACAGAGGAATACCTCAAAGACTGTCACACTGGAAGGTCACCAAAGAGCTTACGGTTGGCCGTGGTTCCAGCACAGACTGCTCTAATCCCTGTTCACAGGCTGAGATCACCGCTTCAAATTAAAGCCATTCCATGCTTGACATTTAATGCTTTAAATAAGCTATAAATTTAATAGCCTCTATTTATTCAGCTTCGGGAGACCTCAAATATATTGGGTCTTTTTTTTTTTCTTTAATTAAAAATTCAGTTGGGACCCCAACTAAGCTTCCTTGGATATGAAGCAACCTGAATTAAAGAGGGGAAAAAAAAAAACAAACCACCAGACTCAATTTGGGTTTCTTGGCCTCCTTATGGACAGCATAACAGAGCCCATGCTGGTTCAACCTTGCTTGCGTTAGAAGGGTTTTCCTCTTTTCACTCTTTTTAAAAAAACTTCCTCTAAAAACAGGCAAGTCAGTAAGCCTCTACTTGCACATCTGTAAAATGGGGGTGATGCTGCTTATTTATCAGTCACAGTGATGAAATGAGCCAAGAAGCTGGCCAGGTATGCAAACTATAGCACCCCACCCCCACTCCACCCCCCACCCCCCCACTCCCCACCCCCACTCCACCCCCACCCCCACCCCGCCGCCGCCGCTGCCACCACTTCTCTCTCTCCCTGATATTTTCATGAATCAGGCCAGACTGGTTTGGATTGCTTAGGAATGTCTGTTTGGAGCCTTACATGCTGACCCAAATTGACAAGCTACAGATAGTGAACACAGCAGGACTGGAATCTTTCCTATGCCCAGGTTAATGGGGTCAAATGGGAGAGCCTGAGATGGGGTCACAGAAAGGATCAACAGATGGATGGGAAGGAGTCAAGACTGAGTCAGGGCAGCTCAGAGTTACACTGACCAATGCATGCTGCTCTCCCTGAACTCAGGCGATCAACAGTCACAGCCAGTCAGTCACAGGAGCTCAGGCCCAGAAGCAGCCTTCGAGGTCAGCACTCCAGCCCTCTGATGGGCTTAAGGGGTTCCCCTGGATACAGCAGCAGCAGCAGCAGCCACCTCCTCCTCTTTCTTTACCTCCCTTAGCAGATACACTTGCCTTAGAAGACAGCCCCAGGCAGAAAGTTCCTCTTTCTAGTGAGCTGAGATTCAAGTTTTAAGGGCAGTAAGTAGAGAATGATTTCCCTTCTCACAGCTACCCCTACCTCCTGTATACTGTAGGAATAATTCTGTGATGAGATAAACGCAGATTTATAACTGAATTTTCTTTTTGAACAACTCAATAGAGAACCCCTCGCACTGGCTGGCTGACTGTAGCTGCATGCAATCTGAGATGCTTCTGCAACTTTCCAGCGCTGGCCGGCCCGCACACATCTGTGATTGATTACTGGGATGCGTTCAGAAGCCAGGGACTCTGCCTGGGACCTCCAGCGATAATCTCTTCTCTCTCCTTTGTGTTCACTTTGAGGGGTAGAGAACTACACCAAGACAGGTTGAGGAACGAATCCCGAATGGTTACATCTGAGCAGAGAAGAGGGTTTTTAATGCAAGTTTCTGTACAAAATTTTGAAATCCCAAAATGTCGTGCTCCACATGTGGAAATTTGAATTCAGACACTTAGCCTGAGATCTGTTTGGCAGTTTAACCTACGTCCAGTTGTCGCAATCTGATTTTTACATCAGATTTTGGACGTGAGCAGCATCCAGGAGGGTTTGACCATGTGCCAGGTGGTCACAGTTTAAGGGAGAGAAAGGCTTGTAGAGAAACCCCGGGATAGGATGGGCTTTCCAGGCACAGTGGCCAAGGCTGGACAGACACACTCAGCAGGCGGTAAAATGTGAACTGAAGCAGAACTTATCCAAACAAGCTTGCGGGGGAGAGGAGAGGCTCCTTTTCTGCCATGGATCAGAAGTTTTTCCACTTGAATAGGTCTGGCTCTGAACCCGGTTTATGTGGCCAGCCCTTAAAGAAGAGCTATAGAAATGTGTGCCAGTTACACCTCAGAGTATGGGGTGCAAGCTCTGACTGTCTCCCCACCTGGCCGTGTCCATGCTACAGAATGTAATATTAAGCCCGTTAATTTTGTAGAATGGAGTCAAAAATCACTAACTTTCTCAATCTGAAATCTATTTCCACTGACTTTTTTTTTAACTACTGAATTCAGTAAAATCCCCTTACATGCCATTTAGTTATTTTTTTTTTTTCCAACGTCAACGATACATGGTCATTTCAAAGAGATGCAAATAACAGTAAAGTAGCACCTGGGCCACAGTGCAACCTAATTTTATCCTGGAAAATATGATGATGTAGGGCTGGGACTTTACTGCTCCCCTCCTGACCCTCTCTCTTCACCTCTGCCTGGCCTTTCACCCTGGTTAGCCCTTATACATGAAGGGTGAATGTTACATTCAAGGCTATGTAGCTTTTAAAAAACTGATAGACACGCCTAACAGATGGCTCAGCAGTAAAAGGTGCTTGTCACCACACCTTACGACTCGTTCAATCCCTAGAGCCCATATGGTGGAAGGAGAGAACTGAATTCCTCACATGGTCCTCTGACCTCCATGTGCACACACCACACACTCTAAATAAAGGTAAGATGAAGAAAGAATAGCCATAAAAATGTTGACATAATAACTGAATGTCTTCATGGAGCACACTGTGATGTCTTAGTACATTGTATGTTGATCAACAAAAGACACTTAGACCATCCATCCTTGTCAATATTTTTCATTTCTTTGTATTGAGAACATTCAAAAAACCTTCTCGTCTAGTTATTTTGAGCTACCCATCTTCCCATTGCAAAATCGTTCTAAAAAGAAGCCCACTCTAGCTGGGAGGCAGCACTCACCGAGTGACTCTCAGACAAGTTAAGAGATGGGAGACCAGTCTTCAGTGACTTCCTAGGAGGTCTCCAAAATTAGCATTGACTCTATACAATTTTTACTTGACACATGACTCTAATGCATTCCTAACTAAATCAGCACCTTAGGTTCCCGTTAGTTAGAGTAGTATGGCCTAACGTTGCTGATAAGGACCCAGAGCTGTAGCTCTGAGATATTCACATTGGGTGTCCATGTATCTCCCTCAGGGCATTGCAATAACTCCCAAGGGTGCCTTGGAATATTAGATTGAGGCTGGAGAGGGGAAGAGAATAACATCCAGTGTCTCAGGCTATTCTGAAAGAGCAGCTAGTGATCTTACCCTCTGAGCCATCTTTTCAGCTCCTCTATTCTAAGAGAGAGAGAGACAGACAGACAGACAGACAGAGACTGCTACAGTGTTTCCTAGCTAACTTTTCGTTTAAATCTTTGTGTTCAAATAAACGCATAGTTTCCTGATTGGACACTGACTAATATTCAGTACCATATACACCATTAGCAATGCATCAGTGTTTGCTCAAGCTTGTTCACAGCTTAATGTCACATTGTGCTGTTTTTCACATGATGACACCATTTCTTTCCAAAGATAGGTGATAAACAAGAATTCTGTGAATGGGAACACAGAACAGGAAGTTAGGGTTGCAGGACGCTATCAGAACTCAAGGTTGGCAAAGTTGTGAGGTGACTCATGACAGACCCCCTCACTTCACATTCCAAGCCTGTCCTTCATTACCTGCTGTGAGAAACTCAGGGGCCTTTGTCCAGTGTTTCTTCTGCAGCTGATAGAATTCTGCATTTATTCAGTGGATGGCACTTCTTAAAATGTATAGAAAGAAGTTCCCTTCTGGGACTTGGTGCTTGCCTTCTGTGGGTGTCCTGAGCAGCTAGCTCCTTAGCAGACACTTCATCAGCTGGCTCCCATTGTGCATCTGATTGACTGGCACCACCTGGCCTCAGGCAGTTAGTTCCTTCTGGCATCCCCCTTCAGGTGATGGACAAATGTCTCAAGTGAGAAAATTCCTCGTGAACAGCAGTCCTCAGCAGCTTAGAGGATGACTTTCCAGCAAGTTCCGCCAGCACACCCAACACCCTAGTGACTTGGCTTCCGCTCAGCGAGCCAATATCTGGAGTGGAGGAAGCTGTTCTCTCTCGTTTGCTAGCAATCTCTGTATTTCCTACCAGCCAGTCACCACCAGAGTTAATATTTCCTTTTAATAGATTCATTTCTCTTTACCACGTTTATCACTGTGGTGAAACACATGGCATAAAAATGATCATTGCGGGGCTGGAGAGATGGCTCAGCTGTGAAGAGCACTGGCTGCTCTTCCAGAGGTCCTGAATTCAATTCCCAGCAACCACATGGTGGCTCACAACCATCTGTCATGAGATCTGGTGCCCTCTTCTGGCCTGCAGGCACACATATACATAACAAATAAATCTTTAAAAAATTGTCATTGCAACCATGAAAATGTTTAGATTAGTGACAATAAGTACATTCATATGTTTGTATAGCTATCATCACTATACATCTTCAGAATATTTTAAATCTTGGAAACTATTTAATGGGCTACTTTCTGTCTCTAGACTGGCTATTCTCAGTATCGTACCTAAGTAGGTTAAACAGTGTTGATGTTTTTGTGACTGACGGGCTTTCTTCATTGACCTTCAGCCATGCCAAGAAACGTGTCTGAATCTCCTTTTGAAGGCTGAGTAATATTCCACATCACCCCTGTAACATATTTTGGGTTGTTCCCGCCTATTGCTACTGCTATGAATATAGATGCATGGATATATTTTTGACACTGTTTGCGAATATTTTTGTTATGTAACCATAAATGGACTTGCAGGACTAAGTGTACGTGTGTTTGTGTGAGTGTATGCCACCCTGTGTATAGATACCCATGGCAGCCAGAGGAGGAAGTCCGATCCCCTGGAGCCGGAGTTACAGGAAGTTGTGAGCCATCAATGTGTGTGTTGGGAATCAAACACAGGTATTCTGAAAGAGCAGCTAGTGATCTTACCCTCTGAGCCATCTTTTCAGCTCCTCTATTCTAAGAGACAGAGAGAGAGAGA